AAACACTAGTTTTGTCGTCTAGTACTAATGTCGTGTATACGTTTTTGCAGTAGAAGTAATGTCGTGTATGAAAAATAAAGGTGCAAGTGTTTACAGTGGGAGTAATGACAAGTGCAAGTTCTGCGGTACGAGTTCTATCGGGTAGCACTAATGTAGTGCATAAGTGTTGGCATTGAAGGTAATATCGTTACACTTCTTTCGGTAGAAGTTTTGTCATAGCCCTGATGTCGTGGAACTGTTAAAACCCAGTATAACTGACGGGCAACTTGAACAGCCTAGCTAGGTCGCTTTCGCACACGCCGCTGACAACCACCGGCATCGCACTCATAGATAGGACGCTAGCATTTTGGCGCCAGGGCCAGTGACCTGCACCACTAGCCTAGCTAACTGCTCTATCAAGCACAGCTGACAAGGTCGTCACTCGATCCTAGACGTGACGCTGTCCCCGCCCCGTTCGGCGTCAGCTGGCCTGGGGCCGCTCGGCGGCGCCGGCTGCCGAGCCGTCACGTCCCACGGTCACCCGCCGGCCATGCTCCTCCGCATGCCGCGTAAGCGAGGGACGGTGTACGCCCGGCAGCCCGTCTGACATATGACCAGCCCTGTCATTTGTCATGTTTTATTCGGCCCCTTGCGGCAGGCGCCAGATCTCGACACGCATTTTCACTCGGTGGGTTTCCGATACAGCACTGGCGGCGGGACGGGCTGGGGAAGCGGGGGCCTGCGAGGCGTTCGGTAGCCCGTTGTAGGCGTGTCTGCAACTGATACCATCGCCGGAAGCGTTTTTCCTACCATGTTTACTGCATTATACAACGACTGGCGCCTTCTTTTGGCAGCCTTTGTCAACAACGTGTGTCCCAAGCGATGCATGCGAATAATATAATGGCGGGAACTGGTAAATGCACGAGCGCTACGACATTAGGTCAGTGTTCCACAGTATCGTTTGTGTTCGTAGCGACGAACGATTCCCAGAGGTGTCCTTCGCTTTCGCCAGGCTCTTAGTGTAGGTGCTGTGGCCAGTCACAGGCAGGGGACATCGAAGCACAAAGGCTGTGCGATCATAGCATACCTATCCATAGCCTAAATTCTTTCACGCTGCCACGTTAATGTTGCGCTAATGAATGCTGTGAACAATCTACGATACGTTTGTAACGACAAGCGCGACGGGCACCGTGTAAAGAATTCACGGGTGGGGATCATCCAAGCCGTGGGCATAGACACCCCTAGGGTCAGTGGGGCTCCGTAACTTGGGCAGATTCATCCGTTTTTGTCCTTTGCCCATATGAATAAGGTTCAGGGCAGATCGAGCCCGGCTGATCCGATATGTGTGGTCACGTCCTTGATCCCAGATGACTTTGTAGTACCTTAAGAGGGAGTTGTTACATTTGACATTAGTACTTAAAGTTAGCATACACATGTAACAAACTGAAAGATGCGCGGCACCGGTGTTCACTGTACGTGCGCGGGACCGGTTTTCACTGTACGTGACACGGGACGCCAAGCGCAGGTATGGCTGGAATGTGTTGAACACCGCATTGCCATCGCGTTAGGGCGCTATCGTGAGACTTGCTACAAAGGCAGTTTGGTAGCAAAATCCACTGAAGGAATGCTTCGTCCGCAGGTAGATAAAACTAAGGCCAATATCTTTCGCGAAAGGTGTGTGGTTTTCGTAATAATAGACAGGAAGCCCAATGAAACAGGTATGCAAAAATCGTCAGTTCAAGTACGTTATCTCAGCCATGAGAAGTACTTGATCAAGGCGGGCTTTACAACTCGACTCGCACACGCCCGCATTCGGGCTGAGAGATGGGCCCCTTTAACGTCATCTGCTATGCATCCGATTTGCCCCTGGCGCTTGTACAACATTTTGCACTATGGCCGGCCGTGAAGTGAATAATAGCGTCCGGAGTCGAGAAAAGTAGCTCAGAACTGACAGAGGGAGCTTCCGTGACCTCCGCCGGTCACTTAAAGGGCCAGAGCCAGAAGCAGAATTACAGGAGCCTTGGACAAGTTCCGTGATTCTGATCAAGCAAATCTTCGCATATCTTTATGCAGCAGTTCTTCGTAGCATAACTTCGCATGTCAGGTCTGGATGATGTGGTCCGAGCCTCGAGCCATCGTACACAAATATTTCAGCAAACATTTGAATCCGCCAGTTGTACCAACGAAACCTCGCACGCGAAATTCTGTATGTTCTGTACCTCTGTTCAGTTCTGTAGCAGTTTGCTGTCCTCCGTACCTGTTCTATGTATGGCCCAGTTCCTAAAACATTACACACCCGGACTAACGGGCCACAAACAGTTGAGCTCAACACCCCAGAGACCGCACGGGATAAACATCTGGCTACCACATCCACCATTATGCGGAAACCCTGGTTCGCCATCTTATTCACAAGACAGTCCTCGAAGGAACTTAGTCAATGCAATCCGAGTCAGCCCAATTACCTCGAGATCATAGCCCTGAACATCCAGAGTCTGGACTGCAGGTTTTGGAAGTCTGCTGTTTGTTGCTGTTGCATTTCTGCGTGTTTCTGAACCATGCATGCGTTCAAAGAGTTACTGATAGACATGAACTGACGCTAACGTCTCGTCCTGGGTCCTTGAACAACACATGTACCGAGTCCACAAATCATTGCTGCCGTCCCGCACATCACGCGCCGGCTCTTCCTGAGTTTGGGAGGAGCTCATGCCCCGTGCGTCCCCTCCTAAATTTGCACTGGGCTGTTGGGGTTGTGACTTGGCCAGGGCGGTCAGCGAATGCGAGTGTTGTGCATAAGGAGGTGACCCATGCCTGGCAAAACTGGTCTATTTTAGAGAATATGACAATCCTTCATGACTTAAACGGAAACGCAGATGGTCTCCAGTCAATGAATTGTAAATTTAAACAAACGAGATGCGAATTATCGGTGTACGGCAAAACGTGATACGACTACGAAGTGTGCGTGCGAAGAAATGTTGCGAAGAATTGCGTATGGGAAGAAAGGCAGCACAAAGAAGTGTGACTCGAAAAATTGCATATGCGAGGAAATGGTGTATGAATAATTGCTCGTAGAAGAAATGTGATGCGAGTAATTGCGTATACGATTTCTTGCATGCTGAAAGCTTTGGGCTGCGGAGATTTTTGTCTACGAACTTTTGTAATTGCAAAGATTTCTACTTGGGAAGATATGCGTGGGAAGAAATCCTATAGAAACATGCGTGGAACGCGGTGTTGCTGACGAACAAATGCCATTCGATTAATAACTCTAAACTTTTACAAAGTCATCAGCCGTAAGGACGAGCTGTGGAGGGCCGATATCACTACTGATTTGTGCGTAAAGCAGCCGGAACTCACACTTCAAAACTATCACCGAATTTCTCTCCTAGAACAACTTCGGCCTGGCTGAGTCACGAGTTTGTTCACCGGTCATTCTTACCCGCCCCTCCTCCCACACACAACCTCATTCTTCATTCGACTTCATTTGCCTTTGTAGGTAGGATGAACATACATTTCTCAAAGCTCCGCATATCTGTCCCGAGCTTCGTGAACCTGCTCTGAGGAGACTCTCAGCGGCAGGCAGAACCAAGGCCAAATACAAATACAGAACGGAATATTGGGAACTTCAGCGGGCTGGAATCCGCGCGTCAATTCGGTCGCCAACTATGTATGGCAGCCATAAGGTGCCGCCACAGGTTCGCAAACAGCCAACGAAAGCATTCCACTAAGATGCGAGACAACCCTGTCCAGTGCATATTTAGATAGATTGTTGGTGGGGCGAGTAAAGAGCAGGGGCGAAGAAGTGTATTCGAAATTAGGGAGGTGCTTGGAAGTGCTGTGAGTCGTTCCTTTCCATGCACCACGAGCATCCCAGTGCTAAATTGTCCCAAATGCTGCGGGGGGAGGGGGGAGATCCTGCGAATCCACATGACGCAGGTTCAGCGCCAACGTTCAGTGCGCATGTTTCAAATGCATCTGAAGTAAACTAAACGAAATCATTAAGTCTGAAAAAGGTGAAGGGCCAGTAAGCATTGCTGCCCCTTTCATCTCTTCTCACCCTCCGTTCTAAACCTTTGGTCAGAAATGAGGACCGGCTCGGGTCACTGACCCATCATGACCACAAATCAGGACGCACATGTTAGGGAATGAAACGTCAGACGGGGCCACAACAGGAACAATAGGGCAAGGAATAACTACGTCAGAAACCATGGCTTAGAGCGAAGGCTGCATTCGATATTCTGTTGCGGCATGTGCCACCTAAAGGCGGCCTGAGCCAGGTAACTGGCACGACTGAGGCGTGACAATGTCGGGGTATGCCGGAGGCTAATGTGGCTATCATAAGTCACTGCAAAGCTCATTGAGACTACTGCAGATGCTTTGCAGTTCTGACGGAAAATGTTATTTCAGAAACAGTCCTCTTCAGTGTGTGTGGGGGGGGGGGGGGGGGAGGGGGGCTGCGCCAGTGTGATATAGTTCGGGGAAAACGAGAGCAGCCTGCTCAGGCCTTTCCGAGACCAGGTCGTGTTGGGACATCTGTTCTGAACGTGTATCTTGCCAGCGCAGCTAAACTTCCTGTTTTGGGCTGGCCTGACTGAATGAATGGAGTGGTCGAATTGCCCGCAGATCACATGGAATCAGGCACCAGATTACCTGCAACCAGAATTCCAAGGGTCCCAAGCCCGAGGGGTCATACTCGCAGCCATCAGGACCCAGGCACTACGAACATGTGACTGCCGGGACCGATTTGGCGGGGAGAGTGGACCTCCAGGGACCCGGCGGCCACCATCTGCACCCCACCCTCCCGCTGGCGCTCCCTCTGGGCGACTGCCGTCGGCCGCCTGCGTCGGCGGTCCGACGGCGCGCCGTGACGTCAGCGGCCGCTGATTGGCCAGTGGAGCGCCTGCCGGCCGCCCATTGGCCACCGGCGCGCCGGGGGCGGGACCGTCGGCGTACCGCAGCCCTCAAGTGGCCTTATCCGTCTCCGGGGGCGGTCTCTCGGGGCTGGGGCCGCAGCGCACCAATATCGTCCCGCATCAAAAGTCTATACCCAGGAGCTCCGAAACCAAATAGAGGTGGCGCGTCTCTGGGACAGCGCGGTGCGAAATTGATCCGACCGCGACGCTGCCACTGCTGCCCCTGGGACGCCCCGGAGAGGACGCCCGAGGGCGAGCGCTCGGCCCCCCGTGACCGCCGACGCCGAGCCCCGGAGTGCAGCGCCGGACCCTCGACCGGCGCCGACAGCCTCTCGACGCTAATTACCAGCCTCCAAGGACATTTGAATGTGGCACGCGCGAAAAATTTGATCGGCCCCCAGTGAACTGTTGAGACAGCGGCGCGAGCGCGCGCCTGGCGGCGCCGGCCCGGACGGCATGATGTTCGGGCTGCAGGAAAGCAGCCTGCACCAGTCGCGCGCGGCCGTGACCGGGCTGAAGGAAGAGCCGCTCACCTCGCGCGCCTGGATCCAGCCGGCCATCTCGGTGGAGCAATCGCACAGGTCAGTGAGCGCGGCGCGGCCGGCCGCCGCCGCCCGCCGTCCGCGCACCGCCAGTCGGGCTTCCCGGCCCCTGGCCGTGAAGGCGCGCGAGCGGGTCGCGCTCCCGGGCGCCGGAGCACGGGCGTGGGTGTGGTGCCGAGCTGGGGCCGCAGCCGAACGCACGTGACACGTGGCAGTGGCCGCTGCGACCGGAGATCAGCCGCAGCCAGGATGTGGCATGACAGGTAAAATAATAGCCAACAAATGCCCCATCTCTGCCAGCACTTGGTAGTTTTTCCCAACTGGGAAAGTTATTCATATAACATTTTTCAGTTCAACTCGCTTTGAACCCTCCGAAGATATGCTTGTCTTCAGAAAATTGGAGCTGAAATGCGTGCTAATCCGGACGGACTGGTCACCAGCGTGGGCGTATGCAGGATTAGCTTAACTAGAGTTCACGAACCTAATAGGAAACTGAGAAGCTTAAAAACAGGCACAGGCTTGCAAGGTTCATATTAAAGGCTTGCATATTATTGCAACGTCCCCCCTGCATTTCGCGTCCCCCATGTGACCCTCCGCTAATTCGTCTTAGAAAAACCGATCGGCTATCCGCGTCGTAAATGTTATGTGCTCCCAAATGATATGACAATAATATGCTATAGCAATGCTGGACAAGGTAACGCATCTACACTTGCGTCACTTGAAACAGATGGTTACACTTGCTGTCAAAGGTAACTTCCCATTACCGGTGCTCCTGGGGGCCGGCGGAGGTGCAAATTCCACCAACGACTTTGGGATAGGGTATCACGCCTACGGTGTCGGCTTAGAAAAATTGGGCGGATAATGCCCCCCCCCCCTTTGTCATCAGTCGGGTGGCGCCACCGCTGAAAGCTCCACAGCCCGTCGTAACCTTGAGCTTGTGAACGAGCAGAAAGAGCAAGAGGCAGAGCATCAACATCCTGTGGCCCGTTATGCTTTACAGACCTGAAATTAATCAGAATGATCAGTGGAAACACTCGTTTCTTTAACTGGAGTCAGCTTACATGGGATATGAAATGTCATATAGGGAAAGTCTCACTTTTTGGAGATTTCAGCCCACGTCTCCCGGTTCCTTCCCTCCAATGGCAGTCTCAAACCACCCGAAACCTTGTAAAAGTCACTACAGACAGCGAAAAGCTTGTGTTTTTGAAGAGAATATTGCCTTCGACTGCCTGATCAACTTGACGACGCTCCGCTCCTGAGAAAAACACGGGAATGTTCGTTATTTTTCAAATATTTGGCATGTGCTCCATAAAAACTATTTGACGGAAATCATGCATTAACAACTCTTGTCTTGAGCCAGCATTTCAGCAATGGGTACGTTGGGTCATATCACCCGCAGGTCAGACATCCAGTGGTGTCAAAGTACGAGCATGTCGACCGCCTAACGTAGTCCTTTTATCTGCCGAGCGTAACGTGTAATGCAGTAGAGTCTTCAACCCACTACCGCTCCTGAACACTGCTCGTTTCCCCTCAGCAGGACCTGCGACACAGACTTTTCTATAAATACGCTGGCGAGAAAACGCAACAGTATCCACGCATCAGCGCACCGTCATTGAAAGCCGAGGCACCTGCAGCAGCCGAGCCCACTCCGCCCCGCACCATGGCCGTCATCATGCTAGGGCGTCCGGCCCGACCCAGCGGTGTTGCCGGTCAGCACGGTGGCCCGGGTCAGCAGGCGGCGGATTGCGTCAGGCGCCTATACGCTGATCAGCTGTCCGTCTAGCGGTCTGCGGGGAGCGCCACCGTTATCACCAGCCGTCCTATTCGGATAAATCCTAGCGCGAGGTGATGAGTCTGCGATGTCGTGTTCAAATTATTTTCAGATCCTGTGAAGGTTACTCCTCAGAAAGCAGCGACTGCAGAGTGGTCTTGTGACAATTTGTTCCTTTGGCGAAGGTTTTAAGCTTCCTTTTGTGTGCCACCCTTCCGGGTGAGACGTCCAAATGCTGCACGCATATCACAATTGTGTTGGACAGTATATCTGCTCCTGGGGTATTAATTGATGGGGGCAAGAAACGCCTTAAATCACTGTTTTTCGCACTATGAATTATTTTCCTCAGACTAACCGACCTTCAGTACAGCGGGAATGCTATAAAACCGACCACAGCCAAACAATTATTGGGATATACTGATAGAATAATTGACGTTTCGGGCAGTATTCATGCCCGCGGAACACCGTAAACACTCATGATTATGAGCACTGCTGGGAACAAACAGTATTTGGATCCTATATCTCATGATTGCTCAACATCCCTGTTTAACTTGCATCCCCTGGTATATCGAAGGTCGATTTGTTTCAGTACAAGCCACTCTGTAGATCATTCAGAGAACCTCGGAAGAGGAGAAACCCTATAGAGACTATTGTGATGGGACATGTCTGCGAAGCGATGCCCGTAACACTACAGTAGGCAATGTCAATTCCTGTGGATTGGTGGGTTTTCTGGTGGAGTCACATCATTACAGGCAAGTGGGCGTTTCCATTGCCCTCACTCTGGGGTATCCACTCGTGCAGCTTTCAGTGAGGGATCAACTGTTGCTGTCAGCAGCAGTAGTCGATCTTCTCTTCCTTCTTAGAGCCTATTTGAAGACAAGCTTTCGAAATCACACCTACTATGCCTGTTTTGTTTTTCTTCAAAGTTTTATGGAGGCTTTTCGTGGTTGGAACTATCTATATCTGCGGAGCAGCAACGGGAGATGCAAGCATCGCGGTCGGGGGGGGGGGGATGGGGTCATCACTCTCACAAAACGGTGCAAAGCGTGCAAGGTGACTGACGTTTTCGAAAACTGACTGGGGTCTCCAACAGCAATTTTGAAGTTGGGACAATTCTTTCCACGCGTCGCCGTTGGTCTGGAGCAAACATTTCGAATTCATGGGGGGGGAGGGGGTGCCCCCGAGTCATGCAGAGCCAAAACTAAGAATGGCTCGCTTGAAAACTCCGCCCATGGCTCCTAGATAGCACTCATTGGTGATATATAGGTCCAGTGGCATTCATTTTTGACATTTCGGAGACTGTTCGCCTTGCTGAAGGTTAAGGTGATAAGGTGATTGATGCGATAAGCATTTTGTTAGCAGACGTGGCTAATATTCAAATGACTCGCTCAAGACTGCATTTAATTCGTCATCAGATATATATTTTTTAACTTCTGCTTTGTCATAGAGGAGATGCCGTCCTGTGGATGGGTAGGGCGCCTGGCGAAACTAAAACGGGGGTGCAGCAGACCACTACCGCAGCGCGCGCGCACCTGTAGCAGCCCACCACCGCAGCGCGCGCGCAACTGCAGCAGACCACCACCGCAGCTCGCGCGCAACTGCAGGCTGTGCAGCATTCGCTCACTTTGACTGTCCCGACCAGGGGCGTATTTATGTAGTGGCTTATGGAGGCGCGTGCCCTTGCCCACCCTCATCAAATGCACTACAGTGTTAATATATGCGTGACTACACGTAAATACACACGAATGCCAACTTCAACAATTAAGCTTTAATGTAAACATGCAACATAACACAGATCGAGAGCATGCAATGTTGCCTGACGCCATACAATACATATTGTGTGCTTGCGGCGCGCGTAACTGGATTTCCAGTGTACTTGATGTAGTCAGGTCAGCTGGGATGAAGTTTGCATAACGTCCTTTGGCAGCTGACAGTGCTCAGACAGCCAGGATACGGCCGAACTGTGTGCAGTCTGTGTTGGTAGCCGCAACTGCGATCACTGCAGTGTACAGCCACTGATCTGTTGTGTGGAACTTGAACCTGGGGCGATATGTGACTTCTCTTCGAACCGTTAATCTGCTTACGTCTTGGCTGCTCGGTGTGGCTTGACTGTGCGTTATTCTGTGCTGGTCGAGTGGAGCAATCTCTTCAACATTGGGAAACTTTGGCTGACAAAGAAGAGCTGGAAAGCAAAGAGTGGAAGAAAACAAAAAGGGAACAGGGAGTTAAGGAAGTGCTCAAAGGTTACGAACTGCCACCACCGCTGTTCTGTGTTTTAGGGCTGAGCTGGTGGAGAATTGCCAATGGGTGAAAAGAGCAGCACAACTTCAATATGGGCTGCTCAGCGGATTTCAAAGCCGATCGCCAAATTGAATGCAAAACTACAACCAATACGATAGTCCCAGGAGAAAGTGAGGCGGAGCACTCAATTGTTGGCTTCCCTCGCGTATGCCAGTGGGTCTGGGTATGGGGTGGTAGTGCATTTCCAAAATTTCAGTTGCAGCCGATTGTAAGAAACTCTCTTCCCTCTCGCTGCAATGTCTTTCAGCTGCTGCATTGTAGTGGAATGGAGCACCATTATCCGTTCAGGGAAAGTGTCAGTGGTGCTGTGTCAAAGTAATGTGAGATGCGTGAACATGCATGTTGACTGTATATGTGGAAAATGGTATTAGCATTGAACAAATCGCCTGATCGTTGCAGGTGACTTAGGTGCGCTTTCGGACTTAAGTAAGCCCAGTACAATTGCGTTACCGTAATACAAAGGGAAACGCTCGTCACCAATGGTCTCGCGCCATTCTGCACCACATATGCGTCGTTCGGCCTGCCGATGCTGGAAACGTTGCTTTCCAGCTGGTATGTTTCCATTGCTTGATCATGTGATGGTCAACCGGACAGGAGTTACGAGGAGCGCCGGCCCTGACCTCAGCCCATTCGGAGCGGACGGGTCAAACACTTCCTCACAGACGGAAAGGTGAAGTTCATATGAGCCACGCACACCGGTGCCACGCGCCGAGGGAGACGCTAATGATCCTGCAGTTGAATACCACACCTTCGCTGTCGCTTGGAAGCAATATACCCAAAGCACCGTTTGTTCCGCCCCCCCCCCTCCCCCCCCGAAGACGGAATGCGGCACCGTCCTTGGGGTCACGCCTGCCGCCAGCTTGACTGCTGACTTAACTGGCCACTGCAGCTGCCACGAAATCCCAACTGTACTTGGTATCGTGCGACGCATGACCAATTGGCAAATGCTGCTCAGGCTTCGACCCACGTGAATGGCGTGGCGATACTCAAGCGATTGGCCAAGGAGTGATAAGAATACGCAGTGAATAATGAATGACGCCGCGATTTACGGCGTGGCAAAGCTCCACCACTCGGAGGTGTGAGGTAGGCGCCTGTCGTTATTAAACGCCAGCACTGCTGCAATCGCTCTGCAAGTGGATGAGAAATTCCACCCTGTTTTTCGGTCGTGACCCACGGGGCCGAAGGCTGGGCGATCACCTATTCCGCGGCACGCAACATAATGCACCGTTTAATGGCCTGAGCATATGCCTTGGTTTCGCCCGTGTGGCGAACCTCTTGTAGAAATCATAATTCCTTTTTAAGTATCCATGTGTCCTGAAAACACGAGAAGTGCGGCGACATCGCTGGGTGGTTTGCTGAACCGGCAGGTGCCGCCACTCCCCATGACTGAAGGGCCAAACGCGTCGGCGTCGTGAGCTTCATAGCAGGAAAATGCAACCCACGCCATGTTTTGATGAACATTTCATTAAAAGACAAGAGGACATTAAGCAAGAGCTTAGATCACGTCTCGGAGGCGCAGGCGGCGGAAGCAAGCCAGTGTCTCGGGATGAGTCGGTGGTTGGTGACGGGCACCAGTGGTTCGAGACGAGTCGGTGCTTGGTGAAGGGCACCAGTGTCTCGGGAAGAGTCGGTGCTTGGTGACGGGCACCAGTGGTTCGTTTATCCGCTCGTCTCCGGGGACGCACACAAGAGCGCTCCCGGGACGCCTCTGATGGGAATCTCATGGGAGCCATTCCACGGAGCCGCCGCTACAGGCCCCCGTCATGTCTGTCTCAGTAGCTTCCTGAACTTGTCTTCGGGCCTCCTGATGTGACGTTTTGGTGTGCTGTAGCGAAGGAAGTGAGGTTGTGCGGCCTTTGGGCGCACCCGTTTTGTTTCATTGTTGTTTTTTTTCTACAGCCTTGGGCGCACCGATTTGAGTGCACGATTTGCGCGATGTCCACCTTGAGCTCGATCCCGTATATCCTGGCCACCCTCCTGTGCGCGCCTCTGCCAAATCTGCGCGCGTTGAAAGAAATCAAGTTGAAGTGCAGATTCCCTTCATGTGGAACTGGCCGTAATTGGTCTGCACGAGTACCATGTGAACAACTTTACCTGGGGAAGCGCGCCGTTCCCATCCATTTGCAGCCCACATCAACATCTTGTAACGCAATGTAAGTTTTTTGGTGCGGAGAAAATTCTGTGGAAATGACACCACAGATGGAGAATCGGTGTGGCCATCGCTATTTTTCATGTCATTCGCTGAAAGCTTTGATGGTGATGTCAAATAGCTTGATAGTTCAGAATTCTCGTTCCTGACGTAAGGCTGACGGGTCTATCAATCGGCAGTACCGGCACCATATCGAACAGGGTCTTTTGCCTTCGCTGTTTGCGCGTCCATTGTTATCATCGATGCTTAGACCTTAGTGGCATACCAATCTGGTGACGTAATCATCCTGGAATGCAGTTATGCTGTCAGTGCAACCTGCAACCTGCAAGTAAATTGTGATCCTACCGGAAATAACAGCAGCTTGTTTAATTTATCTATTTAACCTTAAAGCTAACTTTGTTCATGGGCGTTGGCATAGTGCATGATGCAAACACGGCGTATACGATGTAAGCGTTTTTCTTGCCGCCGCGCAAATAACAACATCGTAAAGTGACAGCACTCGTCGTGGCGTGCTTGTCTCACGGTGCAGGCTTCTTCACATTTCCTTCAAAACGTGTCCGTTCAAAGTGCACGTCGCACGCAAAACAAGGGCCCTCCATCACTGTCATTTGAGGAAATGGGTTCAGCCAAGGAACACCACACGCAAGCCATCAGCCATTCTCCTTGATGAGGCAGACCTGCTCGGCACTCAGGCCACGCGTCATCTGACGACACCGACACATCGCAGCAGGTGTTCGAGCATGCTGTAGCAGGTGTTGAAACATATTGCAGCAGGTGTTGGAACATATTGCAGCAGGTGAAAATATTACAGAAGGCGTTTGAACATCTTGCAGGAGGTGTTGGAAGTTATTGCAGCGAATGTTGTAACATATTGCGGCAGGTGTTTGAACATATTGTGGCATACGAAACGTATTGCAGAAGGCGTTGGAACATATTGCAGCAGGTGCTGGAACATATTGCAGGAGGTGTTGGAAATTATTGCAGGAGGTTTTGCGCTGTGCATGACGGTCATGCCAAGCGTTCGCTGTCGCCCCCGAGTGTCCAGTGCGGTCGCCACCGCTGTCGACGGCCGCCGGCCCTCTGAGTCCCTCCTCCGCCGCGCCACCCACCGGCCGGCGCGGTCACTGAGACCGCCAGGAGACCCCTGGCATAGCTGACCCCGTGCCGTCGCCTGGCCGCACGACGGGGTGCGACGCTCTACCGCACTACACACGGAATCACAGGCCCCAGGAAGTCAGACATTCGCGAGAGCGTAGGCAGGGTCACCGCGGCCGCCGCCCCCGCCATAGGTGGGAGGACACGCGCTGACCGCGCCCCCTGACCAGAAGCCGTGCACAAGAGAGCGGACATGCCACGGTTGGATCTCCGTCCGGAAACGTCCGCCGCCGCTACCGGAAATCAATGGCGCTGTTTAATTAATTAGCGTGGTCCGGACGTAATAAGCACGGCACCTATTTTCCGGCGGCGTTTGACTCTTTGCCGGGCACGTGGCGCGGCCGGGTCCCCTCCGGCGGCACGTGCCGGTCGCATTGTTTGTCGGGCGCCGCGGCGCGCGACGTGGCGCCACCGCTCTTGATTTAATGCACGGACATTACGGCTGAACAGAGTGAAAACGGCGCCGGCCGGTCCACTCGAGTGTTTAATTTCGGCCGAGTGCACGGGCACGATCCGTGCAGCATTGCCCCCCGGAGCCCGGCGTAAAGCGCGCCGGGCATGGTGCGCGCCCGCCGGCTATTCAGCGCACTTTGCGCCGATAAGCCGGCGAAAAATAGCAGCGAATAATGCTGTCATGTGCGCCCCCAGGGGCTTCCGGGCCTTCAGCGCTGGTGTCCGAGTGGCACTTGGGGAGGAGCGGAGTGGCGACGTTGCCGAGTGGTATGCTTGGTGGGAGTGGCGGCGGCCTCGGGTGCAGGGTGTGCTGCGCGGTCGGCGCCCCGACACGTCAGGTGTGAAAAGTTCCACCCGTCATCTGTCTGCCTCCGAGGCTTCAGGAGCAGCACCGGAATCGGCTGCGGGACACCGCGGACGGGGCGCTCCGTGGGGAGGGGAAGGGCATGTCCATTGACCTGCGGCTGATAGTTAAAATTCTAACCGGAGGCAGCCAGCTGAAGACTTCGGCCGAAAGCTGAAGACAAATCTTATGCGACTACGGCCCAGTTTTGTGATTCAGCTTCACTCCACAAACTGCGCCGCTCACCGTGATTGGTGGTCGGCAGGTCAGGCCGTCAGGCCGGGGCCACTACCTCGGCGATCCAGCTGGGCTGCACGAACGCGCACGTGTCGCAGTCGCCTACGCCAGTTTTAGCCATGACGGCAATGCAGTTGTTGGCCATAAGCGGGATCTGAATCTCGGCCTTTCGATCCACAGTCGACGTCCGATCAGTTACGCCTTTTTAGCACTGGTAATACCCACCCGGTTCGTATAACAAAGGCGCTTCACACGCTCGGCAAGGTCACCCCTGACGGTGACTCTGCTGTCGGTGAATGTGCCATCGGTGGCTGTGCCGTCGGTGACTCTGCTGTCGGTGAACGTGCCATCGGTGGCTGTGCCGTCGGTGACTCTGCTGTCGGTGAACGTGCCATCGGTGGCTGTGCCGTCGGTGACTCTGCTGTCGGTGAATGTGCCATCGGTGGCTGTGCCGTCGGTGACTGCTGTCGGTGAACGTGCCATCGGTGGCTGTGCCGTCGGTGACTGCTGTCGGTGAACGTGCCATCGGTGGCTGTGCCGTCGGTGACTCTGCTGTCGGTGAACGTGCCATCGGTGGCTGTGCCGTCGGTGACATTGACAGCCGGGGCGGTATTTGCGGGGAAGCTGTGACTGTGCTTACGGTGAATGTGCTAATGGTAACCGCGCTGATCATTACTGTTCTCGCGAAAACTGTGCTTATGTTGACTGATACCGGCGGCTGTGCAAGAGCGGTTCTGCTATCGGTGACTGAGTTAACAGTGATATGTTGACGAGGAATATGGTAACGGTAGCTGTGCTAATGGCACCTGCCGGCGGTATTTGTGCCACAGTAATTGTTCTAACGTAACTGTACTGAAAGTAATCTTTCCTGGCTCTTTTCGACGGTGACTGTGCTATCAGCAACGGCAAGTACTCTGGCGACGTCTGTAGCTTACCGTGACCGCGACCGTGCCGGTGCTGACACCGACGGGACCCTTTCAGTGTGGGCCTCGGTCGGGTCCACTTCGAGAAGCAGCCACCGTCGAACCTGCGCAAGAGCAACTTCTTCCACTTCGTGATCGCGCTCTACGACCGGATCGGCCAGCCCGTGGAGGTGGAGCGCACCGCCTTCGCTGGGTTCGTCGAGAAGGACGAGGTAGGACGGCAATGCGATCCTGAGGCTGCAGCTGCGTGGCCGAGCTGCTTCACGGCCGTCCATGTTAACGTTCACCTCACAGCGACGTACAGAGCTTGGAACCAGTGGTGCCACGTATTTAAAATTGCATTTCCCAGTGACGTCATCGTATGTGCGAAGCCGCAGCGCTGGCGGCTTTGCTGGCTTCCCCCTGCCTGTCAAGGGCTGCCCGCGTTGGCCACTCGGCGGATGCGTGACAGAATAAAGCCCCAGCCGTCGGGAGGGTGCTGTCTCCCTCGGGCCTCGGCACTAAAAGGGGCCCAAAAGAACACATGATATATAGCTTATCTTGATCTGGTAGGGCTCTTACGTATTAATGGGCCCGTGCTAGACCAGATATAGTCAAGTCATTTTGTGCCGGTGGATTCTGTACGAGACCGTGGATGGCTCCAATATGTAGCTTTTCCAAGGAACTACTTAGTTTTGCGAGCATATCATCACGAAGTTCGCATTCATCAAACTGCGACCCATTTGTCTGAGGTAGGTGTTATTTGATCACAACTTAATAACAGTAGTATTTCGATAGGAGAACATAACTTTCTGGCTCCACATAGCTGTGACCCCATATCTTCGGAGGTCCCACAAATTGCCCATCTCCGGTTAATACACAACACTATTTGTTACTGCCGGCATCCAAATCAAGCTAACCTTTTCCATCGTCATAAGGCTATAAACTGTGCTAACACGCCGCGCCCAAGTCATCTCAGCTGACGTTTCTGGTCTATCTGAGCTATTCCAATGCTGGATGTCGTCGTCCATCCGGAAATCCAGTCTTTATCGTCACAGCTGCGCATGACAGCATTCACACCTTCTATGGCATGGCCTGTGCCCACGTATGCCATTTCATAATCTGTGCAGGGTTCATCACCTTCGCCATGTTCTTTGTTTACCTACGAGCCGGCGTGCATGGCAGCTACCGTCCCTCCCCTTGAGCCGCGCCTCCCCACCGTCCCTCTCCTGCCTCCCCGGCGGACCGAGCATCTGAAAGAGAAATGATAAATACTTAATCTCTTTCATCCGGGGTATTTTTTCTGAGTCGCGATATTATTTTGACTTCCCCTCGCGGCCGTCCCGCGGGAGTCGTCTGTGTGCTCAACTGGGATCGATCGGGCGGGCTGCGGCCGCCCTCTCGCGGGCCGGCGTCACCCTGCGGGCCGCGCGAGACGCCCCGGGCCACCGCGCAGAGGCGCGCCCAGGCAGAGGACCCGGGGGGGCGCCAGCCGCGGCGGGAGGCAGACGAAGGGAGGGTGGGGCTGCGGTGCTCATGCAGAGAACAGGAGATATAACAGTACTCAGAGTCTTAGAGAATCAGGGGTGGGGTAGATGGGGGGGGGGGGGGGGGGGGGGGGAAGCAGAGGGAAGAAGCGGGCCAGATAAAACCCAGCCAAGCTTATTTATCATCCGAGCACTCCCAACACACAAACATTCTTCGGCCTGTTCATTCCAGGTGGCCATACCTACGACTCGACCTTGGTGGTTACACAAGATGGCCGAGGATCGGCCCTGGCTGGCTCGGCTTCCCGTCCCATGCATACAGTTCCGTCCCATCCACGGCGTGTCACTGGCCAAAACAGACCGCGCTTGGTCCGCCAGGGGTCGAAAGGGCTTTCCTTGCGCAGCTTTGTTGCCTTAATCCATGCTCATAAATAAGTATCTCTTGGAACACGTTTTTGGGCGGGAAAGCTAGCGACAGGTAACAACTGGCTATTGACTGATCATGAGGCCCACGAATTATACAATGTCAATCAAATCGTTTCTAAAATACTCTTGAAATCAACCGGCTGCGTCGCATGTACAGCTATTGAAAGAACGCAAGGATAATCCAAAGGGTGGGAGGGACAAGCCCAGTTTTAAGCTGAATGGCTTCCGTACATCACTGTAACATCGACGTTAAACTTTCAAGAGAAATAAGTGGGCCATGGTTCCTCTCCCCCTCCTCCCTAATTCCTACGCTCATGATAAGTGGCATGTATTTTAGCAACTCCGGACTCCAGGTATTCCTCCTTAAACAACTGATAAAACTCGCAGAAGGGTAGAGCTCTTTCAAGCTACACCAGCTGTAGCGGACTGGTACAGGACCGTGCCCACTTAAGGCCCCGTGACGTGGTTGTGTGCCGTGCTGGTCTGGCTACGGAGGCTCGGCTGGCACCAGCAGTCAGCAGCGGGCGTTGTGTGCCGTGCTGGTCTGGCTACGGAGGCTCAGCCAGCACCAGCAGCTAGCAGCGGGGGTTGTGTGCCGTGCTGGTCTGGCTCCGGAGGCTCAGCCAGCACCAGCAGTCAGCAGCGGGGGTTGTGTGCCGTGCCGGTCTGGCTCCGGAGGCTCGGCCGGCACCAGCAGTCGGCAGCACGGCACCAGTGCACCACCGAATGTACAAGTAACGGCCATGTTCCCCGTTTCAGGAACCGGAGGGGCAAAAAACCAACAACGGAATACATTACCGATTGCAGCTGCTCTTCGCCAATGGTCAGTCTCTGTCTGGCAAAGTGTGACGCTCTTCTTGTCCACTGCAGCATTCTATTCACCGGTTGCAGGACCTTAATGCTAAATCGATACGCTGGCCATATCGTTGAACGATATACATCTCGTTGGTTTGCATTTTTAATGGCCGCGTTCCTCGTCATGCGACAGCCCCACCACCATTTCCAGCAGCACTTCACCACAAGCCCGCTGCAGCGCCTCACATTTGACAGATGGCGTAGTGTGTTGTGCTGTGCGGACCTTACGGTCCGCGCAGCCTGGTTTGGTTACGGCCTGGTTTGGTTACGGCCTGGTTTGGATGCGTACAGTGGGACCCTGACGCTCCCGCCGAAGCTCTACGCCTCCACAATTCTGGTCTCTTCTGGATCCCTGCGTACGACTGGCCCAAACCGTATTCAATCTTCGTCGGGGTATAAAAGTGTTCCCAGCCGGATTTAGAACGAGAGAAGCGTCTCTGGAGAAGCCCCACCCGACCAGCAAAGCTGTGATTATGTTGCCACATTTTCTCGAGAAGTCCTTGTCCCGCTGGAACATTCGTCGTACCATGTATCAATCGGGGGAAAGAAACGGCTGCTTGGTACGGCACACCTGCTCTTCAATTGACGCGACATTCTCGTTATGTTTTGACGTGTTCGCTCTGTTTGCTGGCCATAACATACCACGAAAGGCGAGGCGCAAGTAATATTGGGACACACTCAAATGTTCTTTGTGCTTTAGCCGATGATGCTGCCTTCACGACGCATGCAAGGCATTTCAATGTTTATTACTTTTGAGGCGGCCTCGCCGCGGTGCTTCTGACAATGTTCAGATTAAATATTATTGGTTGATTCTTGTAGCCGTTGGCCGGATGGGAGATGTCACGCTTCGTGTTATACGAGCTGATTTGTTGAGTGCTTCCACTCTCTTTATCTTCAACTTCTCCGGTCCCTCCTACTTCGCAATATTCGCCTCCTGCCCCTTCTCGTCATCCTGATCCTGCTCTCCTGCCTCCTGTACTTTACCCCTCCTCCTCCTTCTCCTCCTCCTCCACCTCCTCCCCATCTTTCTCCTCCCTCTCTTCCTCCTCGTCCTCCTCCACATCCTCCTCCTTCTACTCCTTCTTCTCCTCAACCCCCTCCTCCTCTTCTTCTTCTCTCCTCCTACTTCGTCCTCCCTCTCCCCTCCTCCTCCTTCTCCTCTTTCTCCTCTCGCCCCTCCGGTCATCTAACATTAGCTTCAAACTTGTCTCAAAGTACAAAATCAGCAGCGATATACCTCTTTCCCCACTGACTTATTCAGCCTCCGCGCGTCAGGCGAGGCCTCGGCTTGCTTATCTCGACTCACAACGCGTTCCTTTGCAGGCGCTCGCCAGGAACAAGATATTTTCGTTCGTCTCATCGATTCCGTCACAAAACAAGTAAGTGCAAAACAGGTCTTTGCTTGCTTCCGGTGCCATTTCCCACTGAAAAACCTGAAAGTGGCATCTGGCAGGGTGCTTTTGCTCAGGCTAAGTTTCCCGGGATAGAATGCAGACATCGGATCGCGCCCACTCAGGGAGACATCACCTTCATTTGAACGGTTCTGCTTCCTTGCTCGAACGCCTGCCACCAGGAAGGTACCTGTTGCTCACCATTTGCGTGCACTTAACCAGGTACCCTTAAAAGCTATAACGGTACGGCGCGGCATGCCTCGCCGACTCGTCACGTGGTCCGACTGCAGGCTGGCGTCAGCCTGGGTCGCGCGAGTCACACTCTCGGGCCCCCGCCGCGGCCGGGAGAGAAAGAGAGCCACTCCCGCCAATGGAGCCATCAGATGACCGCGCGCCGCGGATTACGCGCGCTTTTGTCATCGGCGTGCGCGGCGCGCGCCTTTGTTTCCGGGCGATAAGCGGCGCGACCGACTATTACGGCGCCGACACGGCGGCGAATATCCGGTAAGCCCCCGCCGGGGTCACGTGCGGGTCACGTGCCGGCAGGGGGGCTGGTTCGGCGCGGCCGGCCGAGCGGGGTCTAATCGGGTAAAACAAACAGCGTGACGGCCGGGGCCCCCGCCCGGTCCCGATTGCTGGGGGCGCACTTTGTGTCGGCACGTGCGCCGCAGCCGAACCTTCGCGGCGCAAACAGCGCAGCCATGTACGCCTTTTGTACGGTCAAATATCTGTTTAAAGACTGGGGAACGAGTGACGGCTCAGCCTGCGAATCCGATTACTTGGCGGACCGGAGGCCTAACCTGGCGTCAGCTCTTCCTGAGACATTTGCTCTATTTTAAATGACTCGGGACGAAAATACGCCGAATTTAGCATCTTAATTGGCCCAATAAAGTTAATTAACATGCCTGGTTTCCCGAATTCAACGATCTCAAATTAAAATTAGGCGATGAGGAGCTTGGATTAAGCGGGAGAGAAAAAGATAATGCGTTATTCGCAGTCAGAAAAAGTACAGTGAGCCAGCGGGATGAGTCGCTCATGTTGCAGCCGTAGAACGGCACACCATCGTCAGTCGTTACATGCAAACGACTATCTCATCGGGATTTTTTCTCGCAGTGCTGGCCTCCCGCTAATGGGTCCGCCAGTGCAGCCTCGCTTGGGTAATAACGGGGAGTGCGCACGCGCATTACATGCGGCACGTCGCGTCACAAGTGCGGCTTCGCGGGGCGTGCTCATGCGCATGCCATGCGGCACATTGCTACGCATGTGCTGCTTTACGGGCGTGCGCGGACAAACGTGACGACATTTTACCAGGCACTTTGTTCAATGAGGTATCACTGTCACTGAATGAGGCAATAACAGACGCATCGCGGGGTCAAACTAAGACGTAGGTCGTGCCAGAAACTGGCAAAAAATTTAAGTCAGTTATTTCCCAGCATCGCCAGTGGGCTGATATTTCAATTTACAAAGGGGAGGGGAGGGTATTGCTAACTTGACCCCCTGTTCATATGCTTGCGGTTTTAAGAGCTCTGGCTTCCCTTTCCAACAAAACAGCGTGTGACGGTGGGTTTCTTCAAAATACTCGCGTCGCGAAGCGCAGTCACCATGTGGCTGCTGAACGGAGCTTTGCGAATCAAATTTGGTTCATTATAAATGCTTTTCATGACGTACAACACTTGCGACGCTGAAAACATTGCGCAACAAAAGCTTCCCCACACAAAAGGAAAGGCATCCATATTCTGTCTTTTCCATACATTGCTCATTGTCGTCGCAGACTCAAAAACAAAACATTGCTACCGTACTAGCTGCAGGGAAGAGAGGAGGGGTAGGCACCGCCAGCTGGGCGGGGGGGGGAGGGGGGGGGGCTGACTGACCCGGACTCGAGCGCCGGGGGCCGGGCCCTGGCCGTCCCGGGCTCGGCTGGCAGGGGCCGCCTGTCGAACAAAGGACGCCCTCCGTCGGCCTTCTATCTCGTTTTCCAGATTACGCCAAAAAATAGAGGCATCATCGGGGGCCATATGCATTACAAAGGGTGGGCGGGCTGCCTCGGCGGCCCGCCCCCCCCCCCCCCCCCCGCGCGCTGATGACGTTATTCCGTGCGACGCCTCGCCGTCGGCGGCCCTTATGGCCGGCGCAGTGGTGAGGAACAACGGGCGGCAGACGCGCCGACTTCGGCGCACCAGCACCGCCCACGATTGTATCGTATTAGCGTATGTGTTCAGCTTACAGCGCTCAAGAGGTTTGAAAAAGAAAGATGGCGCTTTTATCCACGGCCAAGAGCACATGCCTGGTCTAAGCATTGTATAAGCGGCCTCTTGCCTTCTGAGAGATGCCTTTTGTTTCTCTCTGCAAGCAAACTTTTCATTTCGTAACTTTTTTTCTCCATCAAATAGAAATATTAAGCGACTAAACGGGCAAGTGCCACACAAGACAGCTCCGAACACAAACCGCTCCTGGCGCCTGTGAAGACCACATTCAGCTCATCCCATCCATCGCATCGGCGTACAATTTATTCAGTATTCAATGTTTCCTCTCGGCTGGGTATTTCTCCGCCATAAGCCATCAAATCATCCGCCTCGCGTACGCAGCTTGTCGCTAATCAATTACACGCCGAACCTAACGGGCGCGCCCCCGTCGGCAGAGACCGGGCTCATTTCCTCTCTGGCGCGGCCGCTCACCGCTCAAAAATGTGTGCAAACGTTTTGTGAGTGTGCCTGCCTTGTCATCATGTGTTCCTGCCTTCGTGCCGAGACGTATGTCCCCCAACGCAACGCACGCGACCGAAGGTGTACACAATGCCTATACGTACGCACGTACCATGCGTATGTACATGTATACATGTTTCCACATATGTGTAAACGGTGCGCGGATACACGCGCACTCCATGCGTACACACACACACGTCCGGGGATCTGCGTCAGTGCGCGCGCGCGTGTATGTCTGTGTGCTCGTCCGTCGGCGACGGCGGCGGCGGCCTGCCGCCTCCCCCGGAGCCGGTGATCCCTCGGTAATCCCCGGGCCTGGCAATTCGCCGCCGGGCTGCCGCCGCCACAATACAGATTTAAACGAGTGTTTGTTAACGGCCCGTGGCCATCTGTGTGCCGGTGTCGGCGGAGACCACCCCGCTCTCGGGCCCGCGCGCCGGCCGAATGGGGCGCAAGGAGCGCGCCGCTTCGGCCGCACTTCCAGCCAATAAAGATGGCCGATAGGCGGGCGGAGAGGAAACAATGACCCGTGACGGGATGGCACCATCTGTTGACTGGAAACACGGCCGGCAGTTTGGACGGCAGCTTAATTGAGCCGCATTACACGGGGAGGAGCTGATTCGCCCGCTGCTTGTCCGCCGTGACCATCGGCCGTGGTGACCTCGCCGAGAACGCGCCAGCTTTGGAGCGTCAGCCAGCGCCCTGAGGATGGTCTGGTGGCGGCGGCGATCCGTCGCCCCGCCCGACGGCAGACGCGGACGCTGACACTGCTGCTGCGTTACAGGCAATCATCTATGAAGGCCAGGACAAGAACCCGGAAATGTGCCGGGTGCTCCTCACGCACGAGGTCATGTGCAGGTAGGTCAGAGGCTCCCGTTGTGTCCACAGACGGCATCAGTCGTGGGACTATTTCGCAATTTTATCGTGTTTTGCTAGTTCTTCTCGCTGTCGACCATTGTGAGGTTAAGTCGCCCTGTCCACCTGTTTCGCTTCCGACATCTTGTTACCTGCCTGGCACAATGTTCTTGTCGCCGGAGTCTTGTGTCTTGTTTATTTAGGCGCCGCCACACTGCCTGATGAACCCCAAGCCCTGCGTGTCCAGTGTGGCCTCCTCTAGCGGGCCCTGTGTGTCTGATGTGGCCCCTTTATGGCGGGCCCTGCCTGTCCGGTGTGGCCCCTCTCCGGTGGGCCCTGCGTGTCTGGTGCGACCCCTCTCTGGCGGGCCCCGTGTGCCCGGTGTGACCCCTCTCTATCGGGCCCTGTGTGTCCGGTGTGGCCCGTCTCTGGCCGGCCCTGTGTGTCTGATGTGGCCGCTCTCTGATGGGCACTGTGGTCCGGTGTGGTCCCTCTCTCCCGGGGCCTGTGTGTCCAGTCCTGACCTTCCTAATCCCCGTCCGGTAAATGTCAGGCGCGTGGTCATGAGCACTGAATCCGGTGCCGTACAAGCCAGACGCATGTCCCTCCGTTCAGAGTCCGGAGCCCGCGCCTGGTCCTAGCTCTTCGTCTCTAGCTCTGCACGTGCCGGCGGCCGGTCCTCTGCCCATGAGGAGCCCGAACCCGTGTGCGATCCTCCGCCCGCGTGGCGGCGTCTGCCCGGCGCTGCGGCGCTGGACTCTGCAGCCGTTCCGACACGTGCTTATCTGTGGCCGGCGCGGCGTCACGCGCCAGTGCCGGTCCAGGCGACTGGGAGGGGGGGGGGGGGGGGGGGGGGCGCCGGGGCGACGGCGGCCGGGCCGGGCCGGGCACCCCACTTGTCCGCGCGCCCGTGCGTGGCCACGATAATGACGCTACAAAAGGCCTCCCCACACCGAGAAAACGGGACCACCGGCCGGAACAGCGGCAACAAAGCCGCCTTTTAAAGGGGCGCCCGTCCCGCCGGCCCCCTCCGTTCACCTGTTGGGGCCCTGCCGGCGGCGAACAGATGGGATGCGGCCAGGAAGCGGCGGCTCCCGCGCGACTGGAGCGGGTTCGCCCGGTCGCCTCTCTCAGTGCGCAGCTCCTTCCGGGCGTTCCGTGGTAACTGACGCCACTCGCTCACAACTGGACCTGGCGCAGCACCATGGCTGGACGTCACACGTGTAACGCTGACGGCGCGTTCACACGCCAGCAGCCAGCCCCGCCTCACCGCTGGGTCGCCGTGGTGGAGCGGAGGCCAGACATAGGCTACGTATCCGGAGGAGTCGCCTCGTCGGAGATCGGCTACGTCAGCTGCCATCCGAGCGGGGTGTCTGGGCGCGTGTCTTACCGCTGCTCCTCTGCTTCAGCCGGTGCTGCGACAAAAAGAGCTGCGGAAACCGGAACGAGACGCCGTCGGATCCGGTCATCATCGACAGGTCAGTCAGTCTGGGCGTCAGGGGTGCTGGTCCGCCGCCTCGCTGGGCGACCTCCGCCACCCTGGCGTCGGCCCGCTCGCCGCTCCTCGCCGCTCGCCCTCCCGCCGGCGGCGAGGAGGCGCGCCCCGCCGGCTCTGACCTACCTCGGATTCCCAGCGGACAGCGGCGCCTGTTGTCGCCGGCGCCGCGCCACCACCCTACTGCACTGGTCCGCGTGCGCGTAACTCCACTGTCACTGTCGAGTTCAAGGGGCGAGCGGGTCCCAACTATAGTGGAAACATGCGTTGTTATCATTGATGCTTCTGTTGCGTAAAATTCACACCATGTGTGAGAAACCGCCGTCGTCCACAACTCCGTCAGCCTCAATCAACTGCTACACTGCACCACCACTGCTACACCGCCCCACTGCTGGTACACTGCCTCACCACTGCTACAATGACCCACCATTGATATGTTGCCCCATCACTGCTAGACTGACCCACCACTGCTAGACTCACCCACCGCTGCTGCACTGCCCGTCGCTGCTACACTGCCCCATCACTGCTACACTGCCCCATCACTGCTAGACTGGCCCACCACTGCTGCACTGCCCGTCACTGTTACACTGCCCCATCACTGCTAGACTGACCCACCACTGCTGCACTGCCCGTCACTGCTACACTGCCCCCCCCCCCGCCCTGCATTAGTCCATCGCCACACTTCGCTATCGCCACGCCAGGCCATGACGATATTAGTCACCCCACACACTCTCACACTACATTGCTACATTTCTCCAACGCCTTGTCTCTGAATGACTGCAGCGCCGCTCCACCTCCCCGCCGGTGGTCGGCGGTGAGCCTGCTGCCTCCGCGCGCCGGGCGCCGGGCGCGGCGCCCCATCGGGCTCGGCGCCTCCCTCGGGGGGCAGGTGGCCGCGCCCCGTAATACCATTAGCATCTTTGGGAGATGGGGACAACCAGTTGGGACGGGACAACATCGACGACAGCACTGGGGAACGCGGCGCGACGACGATAACACGGGCCGGACGCTGCTGCCTCCCTCCCCCTGTTCTCGGCACAGCCCTCTCCCCGTCCTCGGCAGAGCCCTCTCCCTGTCCTCGGCAGAGCCCTCTTCCTGCCTTCGGCAGAGTCCTCTCCCTACCCTCGGCAGAGCCCTCTCCCTGTCCTCGGCAGAGCCCTCTCCCTGCCCTCGGCAGAGCCCTCTCCCTGCCCTCGGCAGAGCTCTCCCCCTATCCTTGGCAGAGCCCTCCCCCTGCCCTCAGCAGAGTCCTCTCCCTGCCTTCGGCAGAGCCCTCTCCCTACCCTCGGCAAAGGCCTCTCCCTGCCTTCGGCAGAGCCCTCTCCCTGCCCTCGGCAGAGGCCTCTCCCCTGTCTGCTCTCACACTTGCTTATACGAGTTACAAGCGTGCCACTACTGACGTATGCTGCATGACTTGCATGTGTTTCATTACGACACCAATTTCTGTGCATATGAGCGTTTGTGTGCGCGTCAGTTTGCGTCAGTTTAACGTGAGTGTGTGAGATGCTCGATTGGAAATGGGAGGAAGCCGTTAAGTGACAGTAGCGCTCCTAACACAAAGTGCAGCAAGATGTGAGGCACGCAACACTTGCCACCCGACAATCTTCATCGACATTTTTGTAACTGAACCCAGCGCCTTTGAACCGGCTCACCGTATCCAGATGTGTATAACACAATATGTATTTTGCAATACAAAAACGAGGCTCCGCGCAGGACTTAAGCACGACCACACAGCTGTTACACTTGGTACCAAACACACTCTTCATTACAATGACAACTACTCGCCAGATGTTACGCCCCCTAAAACAAAACCATCGGGAAACTACGCTCGGCCCTTTGTCTCAGATTCGTTGCCATTGCGGACTCGGCGATTGTGGTCTGACGGCGCTGCTCCCCACATCATCCCGGTATAATGGACTCGACGCAGCCCGTGAATAGCCGGCCGACATTTGTTACAAGTATAAAATTTCAATCGATGTTAACTAGCCGTGATGGTGGCAGGAGCGAGCCGGGAGCGGCGGCGCCCGCCCGCGCTGCCCCCCATAGCACCACCTGTCGCTGTCCGGGTCCGCGTCCACCGCCGGGCCGCGCCGCGCCGCCGCCACACACCAGCGCCGCCCCCCACAGCACACAGCCCAAACCGGCCATCCGGAGCTCGTGCGCTCGTAAAAAGCTGTGCTTTAAAGAACTGGAGGTCGAAATGAAACAGAAGGGCAGAGCTGTCATTTGGCTGCGATGCAGATCTCGCTGGACGGTCCGAGCGACACGAGGTGCTGTGTTGGCGGATCCTCCGCCTGTCAGCCGCCTTTCCTTGTCCGGTGCTGAGGTCGCGCCGGCTCTACCTGAAGCGTGTTGGTCGCCGGTCCATCGCCGGACTCAAGAGCGATAGCACGTGCGAGCTCATACAGATGCGGTTACAGCATAGCCTGTACCGATGCGAGACGAACGCGATGAATACACAGAATACGGAAACTTGTTCCTGTAATATGGGCGCTAAGTTAGGCATTGCATCGCTCACTCCAAGCTCGTTTCAGATCTAGCACCATTGTCGGTCCTCGAGGTACCAATGAGATCGTGTCAATGCTTTGAAGCATATCTTAGACCATACACAGTGAAAAACTACCAATAACAGATGTCCCCTCCCGAGGCAGTGCAGAAGTGCTCTGGGCAGGGCATGGTCTGAGGCCATGGCCACTTGCGTAAGAAGTTTAATATAAACCCGACAATAAGCCATGGAAAAGACGAGCTCGAGAAATAATTTGTTCCACCAAATTTTTGTGAGTTTTTCGATCTTTGGAGAATCATCGGCCGCCGGTACCACGCCGACATTTAGTGGAATGGGGAGCGGGGGGGGGGGGGGGGGATTTACAGCGCTCGGGTCACAGGCACAACTGGAGAGGCTGTTGTGCTAACGGCTACGGAATAGCACGAGTCGTGCTGGGTTGAAAAGGTCGGAAACTGATACACAAATGCAACGGAGAGTGAGAAATCTTGGATTTCCTTCCTTAAGTTCCGCACCCTTTTCCTTGGGACCTGCCCGAAAGTTGGCATGGTCAGTGGCTACTGGCTTATGATTACGTAACGTTTTAACGAACGTCTTAATTCGTCGATGGGTTGTCACATCTCTCCATAGACAGCGGTCAAGTCTGTGCCGTAACCCAGCGCCAGAGCCACGCCAATGCTTGTCAACAAAGAATGGAGTCATCCTCACTTCGCCTATTTCCCATACACAGGTAACAACCAATGCCATTCCCTGGAACTGAGGTGCGTCGCGACGCTCAGGCGCGTGTAGTTTCTGGCAACGACAGCCCGCGGGGCCCGGGCTGGCCTTCACGTGGGTCCCGGCAGGGGACATGAACCCACGGGCGTGTTCAACGAACCCGGTTTTTCTTCGAGCAGATTTGAAAAGGCCTGCCGTGGCGCCGCGCACATTTTTCGGGCCTTGCCCGGGAGCAGCCAGTCGGCTTCAATCTGCGCCGGGCGCTAACGGACGATTGAGAGCTTGTAGATCAATTACGCTCCCCGGCTCCCCATTACGCGTCTTTGTTCAGGCCTGAATACGCTGAAGCGGGGAGCCGGTCGGTCGAAGACTGTGCCGGCGCCAGTCCTCGTGCCGGCGGACGCCGGGACAGGTGGGAAGCCGCCGCGAAGCCTTTACGCATCGAGTTCAAAATGCTGGCGGCGGATATGCCGCGAGCGTGGTGCGGCAAAGTCGAGACGTCCAGCGCCTGCTGACGCGGTGGGTTGTACCGCGAGCGTGGTGCAGCAAAGTCGAGACGTCCAGCGCCTGCTGACGCGGTGGGTGTACCGCGAGCGTGGTGCGGCAAAGTCGAGACGTCCAGCGTCTGCTGACGCCGTGGGTTGTACCGCGAGCGTGGTGCGGCAAAGTCGAGACGTCCAGCGTCTGCTGACGTGCTGGGTGTACCGCGAGCGTGGTGCAGCAAAGTCGAGACGTCCAGCGCCTGCTGATGTGAAGTTGGGAAATGTCAGGATAGCATAGATGTCTATCAATTTCGAACGACAAGGAGAGACGTGTGAAGGAGTCGTGATTATTTACTCACTCCGTTTGTTAGTCCCGTCTTCCCTGGACTGGCTGACCGGCGCAGAGAAATCTTGGCGAAATAATGCCTTGGATTGCGCGCACGCTTCTGCACACTTCTCTCCCGTGATCGGAATGGATTTATCATTTATCTATTACCATGATTCGGAAGTAGCATCGTCATTGCTTGATATGAGCGTTACCACGGCTTTGATATTTGTATTGTGAAGTTATAATATGCGACCATTATATGCTATTGGAATCAGAATGATTGCTGGATGGCTGTCCATCGCATTATCGCTCATCCCTTATCCCCTTTCCTGTTGAAACCTAAATCATGCCCAGATTTCTGTCCATGGCTAAATCTAGGATCCCCAACCCCAGTTTGCTGCTCAGCCATCACTTACGCATATCTGAAACCACGTCCCCAGTGCAGTGTATTAAACGATGATGGTGCAAACGGCAGCATTAAATAAACGTCCTAGATGCATACGGTAATAAGTTTTATCAATCCATGATGGGCCGCTTCGTGTCCACTAACACTTACGCGACACACTGTTAGATACCACGTTATCGTACCATAGCTAATCTCTAACAACCACGTAGCAAAGCAAAACAACTTCCTTGAAAGCACGCTGCCGCGTAGGGCTGCTCAAGGTTGACTGAAATGAGTGCGAATGTACCAGACCGGAGCTGGAGAGACCGGGGCGATGGACCAGTTGGAGTGCCCTGGATGGGCCATGCGCCGTGCTCGCACCATCAGTGAGGTCTACGTCACTGGAACATATGTAACACCTACCCACCATCCGATAAACTCACTCTTGCACCGCACAGGAAGCAGCGCCCTTCCCGCGTCTCCACTAAAAGAGCGTGACATCTGCGGGGAAAAGGGGGAGGGGGACTCCAAACGCTCGTGTGGCGACGACCCGGCCTCCGTGTCGGAA